CCCCCCTCAGGAAACATACAATGGCGATGTTAGCGCATCTGGCATTATTCCAGAGGTCCCTTCCTTCAACCACCCACATCTTTTAAAATTGCTTTCTTTTGGCAGTTCATCCCGCTTGCTTTCCCATCCCCCGCCTACCAGATCACAGATCGTCTGTACCGTCTCATCTACAGTGGGCCCCGCCACACATCTTTCACTGGGGTTCCTTAGTCAAGCTCTGACTGGTTGTCTATTTTCTGTATCTTTAGTCAAGTTCTCATGGAGTTCCTTGGCTTGTCTCAGTTCGGGGAGGGTCTTCAACATTATTTTGAACTCTTCATGAGGTATGTTGCTTCTAACTGCTTTGTTTAGTTCTTTGAGATTCTGTCTTGCTCTTTTTTCTGGAACATATTCCCATCTCCTCATTTTGTTGGTGCTTGTTTCTACGTGTTAGGTTGATCACATACTTTGTCTCCTGATCTTGAAAGTAGAGGCTTTGTGGAGAAGTCATCCCCGGAGGGCCCAGAAGTGCGCTCACCCCCCCCACCCCTTCACCAGAACTGAGTGCCCCAGGCGTGTCCCTTGTGTTGACTGCACACATCGTCCTGCTGTGGCCGAGCTGTTACTGCTGCGAGCACGCCTGTGGGCAGGAATGGCTCAGAGGCCTGGCTGTAGCTGCTGCGAGTACGCTGGTGGGTGCAGCCATCTCCCCTCCTCCGGAGGCAGGACCCCTTTGGGAAGAGCCGGTCCTGTCTCAGGCCACCTGCCAGATAGATACAGCAGGTTGGGAGCCACCTGGAAGGGGCCCCCACAGGGGTAGGTGGATGGGGCAGAGGGAGTCCACAGGGAACACCAGGAAGAAGCAAGCATTGCTAGCGAGATAGATGGAGGGTGCGCGAATCTGCGTCTGCTTGGAAGGCTACACGTGTTCAGCACCTCCTTTCCTAGGGAAGCTTCCTACAGACCCCAGTCTCTCTAGCACATACCCTACAAGTAGCGAACAGCCCTCCTTCAGCTATGGTACATGTGCTTCTGAAAATGCAACTTCGGAGCGGTCCCTGTGACCCAGGGATACAGCCCACAGGCCCTTTCAGGGTCAAGACTGGATTTTCTATAGCTCTCTGCTTTTGCTGGAGTTACGCCCCATTGATTTTCAAACGCATAGGTCATGGGGGCTTGTCATCCCCAGGGCAGGGCAGGATGCACCCAATGTGGGGCTTGATCCCTCAGTCCCAGGGAGGACCCCCACACCTAGGATATCCCTTCCAACTGCGAGTACCCCTGTAGGAATTTGATTCCCCATCACATTTCAGAGTGGCAGCCTCTTTGTGTTCGGCTGTGGAGAACCCGTTGACCTGTGTTGAGGTCACTCTCAGAGAGAATTGCGCCATGTGTAGCTGCAGCCTTGCTGTGTCTGTCAGAGTGGGGAGCCCAGGACCCTCTGCTCAGCCATCTTCAATCATTACGTTGTAAACAGGAAGTTAGTATAGGCTTCTTAGCCGTCACTATTGTGCCTTATAGTCCATTTTTCCTGGACTCCAAAGCTCAAGGTCATATTTCAATCTCATTTTCTCCACTCACCTTAGAAATTTAGTTCATGCTTTCATGTTAGTCTTCTAATCAATAATCTGTTACCCCATCCTTATAAATGCCTGGTAAAATCTCTTTAGCACCAAAAGCAAAGGTATATAGTTTATTTAATTCCATCTGTTTCTGGTTCCTACAGAACACATTACTTTATGATCACAGATTTAAATAAAATGTCATAGGCATCTCGGTAACAAAAAAAATACTCAATATCCCTCATCATCACAGAGATGCAAATCAAAATGGGCATGAGGTATCATCTCACACCTGTCAGAATGGCTAAAGTCAACAACACAAGAAATGATACGTGTTAGTGAGGATGTGGAAAAAGGCGAACTCACATGCACTGTTGGTGGGAATGCAAACTGGTGCAGCCGCTCTGTAAAACCATATGGAGGTTCCTCAGAAAGCTAAAAACTGAACACCTTATAATCCAGGAATTTTTTGGTATTTACCCAAAAAATACAAAAACACTAATTCAAAGGGATACATGCACCCCAATGTTTATAGCAGTATTATCAACAATAGTCAAATTATGGAAGCAACCCAAGTGTCTGCTGACTGATGAATGGATAAAGATGCATAGATATACAATGGAATATTAGCCATTAAAAAGAATGACATCTTGCCACTTGCAACAACATGTATAGAGGTACCGAGTGTAACGCTAAGTGAAGCCAGACAAAAACAAATACCATATGATTACACTCATATGTAAAATTTAAGAAACAAAATGAGCAAAGGAAAAAAAAAAGAGTCAAACCAAGAAGCTGACTCTTTTAACTAGACAGAACACACTGATGGTCACCAGATGGGATAGGGAAGTAGGGGATGGATATGAGGAGTGTACTTGTCCTGAAGAGAACCAGGTGTTGTTTGGAATTGTTGAATCACTATATTGTACATCTGAAATTCATATTACGTTGTATGTTAACTACACTGGAATTACATATTTTAAGTTTTTTATTTTTTTAAAAAATGTTTATTTTTGAGAGAGAGAGACAGAGCATGAGGGGAGGAAGGGGTAGAGAGGGAGAGAGACCCAGAATCCGAAGCAGGCTCCAGGCTCTGAACTGTCAGCACAGAGCCCAGTGCAGGGTTCGAACCCACAAACTCGGAGATCATGACCTGAGCTGACATTTAACTGACTGAGCCACCCAGGAGCCCCTGGAATTAAAATTTTTTAAAAGAGGCATTGGGACTTTGTTTTCAAGTAAAATTCAGGAAAAGGCACAAAGAAAGGTGTCCCAGTGCAATGGACAGGGACTGGAGTGGGGCACTGCTGGGGTCATCAGCTCAGAGCCACGGTTCTCTCTTTGGAGGAGACCACCTACTCAAAACGCTGTGTAGCACTTGTCCATTTGCACTCTCACAAGGGCCTGACACACAGGCTGCACACAGCAAATGGTAATTACAGCTTGGCAATTCCATTTACATACGCTTATGCTCATCTTACGTCCATACACACTTATCACCCAAGAACTACAGCGCATCCAGCCTTGCAGCACTCAATCCAAGAAAACAGGATTGATGCCGCAGCCACCATTACCCAACAGACTTTGAACAAAGGCTTCGGAGATTCTGAGGTTCTGTCCTCAACTCCAAGACTCTTTCCCATGGGGACGGCCAAGTGGCAGCGGGGCAGAGCTACAGAGGGAAGTGCCGGTCCTCGGGGGCCTGGGCAAGAAGAAGAACTGACAACAGCCCCAGGCTGGCCATCAGGAGACCGCAGGAGTCGTCACACCCAAGGACCCACGAGGACATCACTGCTGCAGCTTCTCCATCGCTCTGTGCCACAAACTACCCCCAAAAGCATCCCATGCCCTGCGGTTCCACCACCCCTTGGTGCCTTCCTTCCCGTACTGGGAAGCATCTTCCCACATCCCAGTCCCCTGGCTCCCAGAGGAGCCTGACACCGCAGGCAAGCTACGGTGTGTGTGTGCCAGGCGTTGGACAGCTCCCAGCTATACCGCCGCCTCTGGGCGTGCGCCAGACACAGGCAGTTCCCAGGTACACCAGCCACCTCCGGGCGTGCGCCAGACACAGGGCAGTTCCCAGGTACACCAGCCACCTCTGGGCGTGCGCCAGACACAGGGCAGTTCCCAAGTACACGGGCCCCCTCTGGGCGTGTGCCAGACACAGGGCAGTTCCCAGGTACACCAGCCGCCTCTGGGCATGCGCCAGACACAGTGCGGTTCCCAGGTACACCAGCCGCCTATGGGTGTGCGCCAGATACAGGGCAGTTCCCAGGTACACTAGCTGCCTCTGGGCGTGAGCCAGACACATGGCAGTTCCCAGCTACACCGGCCGCCTCTGGGCGTGCGCCAGACACAGGGCAGTTCCCAGTTACACCGGCCCCCTCTGGGCGTGCGCCAGACACAGGGCAGTTCCCAGGTACCCCAGCCACCTCTGGGCGTGAGCCAGACACAGGGTAGCTCCCAGGTACACAGGCCGCCTCTCGGCATGCGCCAGGTGCTGGGCAGCTCCCAGGTACATCAGACACCACTGGCTCTATGTCAGGGCTGTCAGTGGAGAAGACTGCTCCCTGAAACCCAACTCCTTGTGACTTCCATCCACGACAGGACCCCTGTCAACCAAAAGCAGCTGGTTTCCCCCTCACCCCAACCTCTCCTCAGGGAGCATCCATGCTCACTATTCTCCATACCACGGACTCACTACCAGCTTGGCCAAGCTCGGAAGATGGGTCCCATCGGTCAAGCCCCCCAAATGCTGGCATCAAGACTGTATGCAGTACCCACTAGGCTGGGCCTCAACACATGCTTACTTGACAAGCTGTTCTGGTGACCCAGCTGCCTGCACCACCACCCCCACACCCCCGCCGTGGCTGCAAAGACCTTCGGTGCGCTCACCACACCTTGACCCTGGGCAGGTGCGGACAAACGGCTTTCCCAAATGCTGTGGACCCGAAACTCCAAGCTCGAGCTCAGACGTCTACTAGGGCTACTGGCAAACAGCCGTCTCTGCTCCGCCAGAAGTCGCTGGCACCTCTGCACTGCTACTGTGTATTCATTTTGGCTTCCCCAGCACTTAGGAACCAAATGGTGGTTGGTTGCCAAAAGACTGAGTTCAGAGGATGAATACAGAGAATGACTGTTCAATAAATGCAGTTTTCAAACAAACAGGAAAAAGGTAGGAAATATTCTGCTTTCATCACTGCACTCCTTGACTCAACCCCCAAACTCCCAGTGTTTCGTGAAATGAGAGTTAGCAACAATACAATCACACAAGCTCCGCTGTTACAGCTTTTCCACAACATTCCACGCTGAAAACTACCGAGGAACCAGCTTTCCACCAACACGATTCTCTTCCTTTCCTTTCTCAACAGCACTCAACATTCTGCTTCCAAAAAGGCGTGGCCGAAACTGAGAGGACCAAGCCGCCGAGCAGACGGAGCCTGTGCAGGGGGGACTCACCTTCACGTGGCTCGGGTCTCCCGGCTTGCCGCCTTCGGGGGCGTTCGCAGGCTTGCTCTCCACTCGAGGCCGAACGACCTGTCGAAAGGGACTGCACAGTGGAAAGCCGCTCACACTGATTCCGTCTAGAAGTGAAATTTTAGGATGTTGTTAGCAAATACAGAATATGGAATATTTTAAAACCTGTTGCCCCGAACTTGAATTCAGGTATCAGTTTCGAACAAAAAGAAAGTAAACAAGTGTACATGTGTATCTGTAACCAGCTCTGTCCCCAGTAAAGACTTAGAAACAATCACCGGCACAACATGATGAGCATGGTCTTGAGTTCTCACTGGCTCACTTTCATTTTTTTTTTTTTTTTTTTTTTTATTTCTAGGAGAGAGAGAGAGAGAGACAGCGTGACCAGGGGAGGGTCAGAGAGAGGGAGTCACAGACTGAAACAAGCTCCAGGCTCTGAGCTGGCAGTCAGCACAGAGCCCGACACGGGGCTCGAACCCACGAACCGTGAGATCATGACCTAAGTGAAAGTCGGACGCTTAACCGACTAAGCCACCCAGGCGCCCCTCACTGGCTCACTTTTAGGGAAAAGCTGTCGGGGCTTCTCAAAGAAACGGATGATGCCAAGTCAGCATCAGGAAACGTAGAGGTAAGTTTGGAGAGCTAGTTCTACACCAGAACATGGAAACACTAAGATGACTAGGGTTGTGTCAAAGGCCTCTGCACCATCTGGAGAAGCTCCCGCCGACTCAAGACACAATTGAAACTTGAAGTTACAGTAATTGCAACTGATGGATACCCTTCAGGTAGGTTTAAATCTGTACTTAGCAGATCCCAATTTAAATCCACAATACAGGGCACCTGGGTGGCTCAGTCAGTTGACCTGTCGGACTTCAGCTCAGGTCACGATCTTACGGTTTGTGAGTTCAAGCCCCACATCGAGCCTGCTGCTGTCGGTGTGGAGCCCACTTTGTTCCCCGGTCCACTGCTCCCCTCTCTCTGCCCTGCCCTTGCTCATGCTCTCTCTCTCTCCCCCAAAAACACCAAATATAAATAAATAAATTAATCAAACATTAAAAAAGTTAAATCCACATTTAATCCGTGTGTTCATTGTCATTTTTTTTTTAAGTCCACGGCCACCTGTGGAGGAGAAGAATCTTGATTTTCCTGAAAACTGGTAAATCAGAGAATCGAGTATTTAAACTCTGTTTTATGAACTGTACGACTTGATAATGCCATGACGAGGCAGCGTGTATCTGTATAAAAGTATTCTAACAAAATGAAAAGGAAGTGATAAAACTGGAACCCTATTTTACACCCCCCAGTCCAGGATTTTTCAACCTCAACACTGAGATGTGGGGCCAGACAATTCTGTCTGTTGGAGGCTGCGCTGTGCATGCGCGATGTGTAGCAGCATCTCGGGCCTCTATGCACAAGAGGCCAGTAGCAACCTCCTCCCAAGTTGTAACCAACAATTGCCACACATCCCCTGGAAAAGAGAGTGGGTCCAAAATCATCCCTGGTTGAGAACCACTGATCTTCACAAGGAGCACCAGCAATTACTAACATCACAACAAGAGAAACAACTGGACACCCCCGGTCTCCTGACGTGAGAACACAAGACCACCACTTGCCAAAAGGGTCAGAGATGAACCGGTCAAGCTGCCCATTTTCAGGAAACGCTGGGGGACAGAAGAACACGTTAAAGGGCACCACAAGCGCACAAGCAAGAAGCCCATGCTGCGGAAGCCTCCTCAGGCCAGATGTCCCAGCTTCTTCAGCAAATTAATTACTAGGAAAAGGAAAGAGTGGGGATACCTGCACATTAAGAGAAACTTAAATAAATGGGTAACAATCAACTATGCTATGTAGGGACATATACTCATGTGCTGAGCCTGTAAGCAAGCAAGACTAAGTGGTGACGAAAAATCAAGATGGTGTTTCCTTTGGGGGTAAAGATGGGGCACAGGAGAGGCTACCTGGCTGGTGAAGCTCTAGAATTTGATTCAGGTCAGAGTTAGAAGAGTGTTACCTTGTAACAATTCATCAGATTACGTATTTGTTTTACAGCATTTATAGCATTTCATCATTTATATCATTATATCATCTTTGTTTTAATTCCCGTATAATTAACATAGTGTTATGAGTTCCAGGTGAACAATATAGGATTCAACAATTCTATATACCACTCAGGGCTCAAGATTCATGTGCCCCTGATCCCCTTCACCTATGTCACCCATCCCCCACTCCAGAATCTGTATCTAATTTCACCATAAAAAGTTTTAAAAACACAATTCTATTTTTATTTTCAAAAAATTTTAACGATTTATTCAGGTAGGGTCAGTTGGTCTGAATTGTCACATGGAAGTGTGCCTGACCTTCTACTTTCTGGGACACTGTTCCATTTGCAAACAAGTCTATTTATATGGACAGGTCTGAGGTGATAGATACCTTAAGTAGCTGTTGCTGGAAACAAGTCCCCAGTGAGCTAAGAAGACCCCAGCTGAATTAGTGAGTTTACTGAATAATAGTTTTATTATTTAAGAACATAGAGAAATGGTGTCCTGTTAGGTAAATTCTGAGTAGCTGGAGTTGGGTAACAAACCAGCTGGCATGCACAGGGTACTCGTAAGTGTGTCCAGTACAAGAGACCTCTAGTGTAGACCGGGCTCCTAGAACAATTTACCAGAGCCCACGTGTGTGAGAACTGAAAACTACTACTAATTTTGGCTTAAGATACAGGAGAACAGACACAAAGGGAGAACAAATGGCAGAAAGTGAGGTTGGTCAGATGCCAATGCCTGTCTGTAAGGTATTTTGTAGCTTGTAAACTCGCTCCCATCTTAAGGAAGAGCCATGAATAACAACCTCCCCAAGGTCAGAGTGGCAATAACTGATGCGGGGACATGCTACCCCACACCAGGGGACTATCCATTTAGCAACTTGGATGTTTGGGTCCCACCGAGAGCTCGGACTGCACAGGGACAAAGTGAGTATCGGGGCATTACTTCTGCAGACAGCAGGCTAGACAATTCAGACCAACTCAGCCACGGAGAACAATACAGAACACATAATAGCTTTAAAATCTCCTCAAGGTGCTGGAGAACTAGCAAGGCAGCGAGTAACCACAGGGCCATGATCTGGCAGAAGAAAAAAACAGAGAGACAGGAGGTGGCATTAAATTTCCTTACACATCTCAGGGTGCCTGCAGATTCCAGAAGAGTTGACGGAGAAGTTGAGAACCGGGGCAGAGCCTCTGACAAACTCCCAGGACCAAGTAAGAACACCGGCATTCGGTGTCCCCCAAGCAGAGCGGAAGGAAGTCCCAGAAGCTTCAGGGGAGGCCTCAGAAGAGGACCCCGTAAGTGAAGGGTAGACAGGAAATAAAGTAGGCTCACAGGGGCCACAGCCCAGCTGTGAAGTGGGTCAGTCCTTCCAACCGGATTCTGGCAATTCTGCCAGAATCCACTCCTCGTCTCCCCTATTTCAACCCCCCCGTGTTTTCTCATGTCTGTGCTTCTCCAATTCCCGTTCCTCTGACCTCCATCTCTGTGTCTCCTCACGTCCCACTGTTAGTTCACATGCTGCCTGTTCCATCACGTGTCCCCTCATCACTGTGGCCGAAAGCAAGGACTCTTCCTCAGAGTCCAGCGACCTGTCTACCCGAGGCCCGGGCCTACTGCGTGCGGTCCCGTGTCCGGGAAGACGGAAGGCATAGAGGCCGGAAGCTGCTGGCGGAGTCATCTTTACCAAGTTACTTCAACTCTGAGCTTTCAATTCCTCAGCCCTAAAATGGGAAGGACCTGAATGCGTAAAGTGCATGATTCTCTGCAAGAACGAGTTACTACATATCAAGTGCTTGTCACAATGCCGGGCACCTGGCAAGGGTTCAACAAAACCATGTATTATTATCAGAGCAACTTACGTACATGTCTTAGCTCCCTTAGTGGACTGGAGACTCCTTGAAGACACAATTCTTGCTTCACTCCTCTGTCCCCTATAGTAGCTCACACAGGCTCTAGCAAATCATAAATTCTCAGTCGATATTAAGTCAATGACTATGCTACAGGGTCAGATGTGATACTGATACATTTGCACACCACGTTCACCAATAATCCCATCACCCCAAAGTCACAGTCAGTCAACCATCAACTCCTGGGTAGGCGAAAATCCCATCAGGCAGAGTCCCAGCCCATAGCTGTTCCGGTCGGTCGAAGGAGCTTCCCCTTCCCGCTCTCCCAGTACCGTGGGCATCATCTAGAAAACCTCTCACTACACCACGGGCCTGCAAGGGGCTAGCGTTCTGAACACAGACACACAACACATAAGCCCCACACTTGTCAGCACCCTGCCCGGGATACTAGGTCAGGTGAGGCCTGTGAGCCAGTGTGGTGCCCAAGGTGCCGGACAGTCACGCAGCCCCTAAGTCATCTTCTCCTGAGGCAAGGCCAGGTGCCCGAAAGTATTCTTTTATTTTATTTAATGTTTACTTATTTTTGAAAGAGAGAGAGACAGAGCATGAGCAGGGAAGAGGCAGAGAGAGAGGGAGACAGAATCTGAAACAGGCTCCAGGCTCTGAGCTGCCAGCACAGAGCCTGACGCAGGGCTCAAACTCACGAGCCTTTGAGCCTTAAGATCATGACTTGAGCAGAAGTCAGCCATTTAACCGACTGAGCCACCCAGGTGCCCCTCAGAAGTATTTTAAATGCGAGCACTGTCACTCTGACTCACACACAGCCTGGGACACAGTGTATTCTCCTCTTCCCCAGGGAAAGCTCCCATCATCAGCAAATTACACAACCATCACCAGCTCCCAAAGGACACAGATTCTTTTTTACTGTGGAAATAGGAGTCCTTTGGGGCGCCTGGGTGGCTCAGTTGGTTAAGCATCCGACTTAGGCTCAGGTCATGATCTCACAGTTCGTGGGTTCGAGCTCTGCATCGGGCTCTGTGCTGACAGCTCAGAGCCTGGAGCTGCTTCAGATTCTGGGTCTCCCACTCTCTCTGACCCTCCCCTGCTCACAGTGTCTCTCTCTCTCTCAGAAATAAATAAAAAATATAAAAGAAAGAAAGAAAGAAAGAAAGAAAGAAAGAAAGAAAGAAAGAAAGAAAGAAAGAAAGAAAGAAA